ATTTAATAAAGAAAATAGAAATGTAAGCAGTAGATGTATTAAGACAAAATAGATACAAACGGAAAATGTTGTAGAAAATATAAGCATTCGAAATCTGAGTAAAAGATAACTACAATTAAATTTCAATCAGCTCGAAAAGAAAACAGGATTCGTAGATAAACCATGAATATATGACACTTAAGTCTTTATAGTAATTATGCTTTCTACATGGACGTGAATATACTCACAATTCAATACTGAAATTATGTTGTCGAACCCTTATTTTATCTCCATGGAATTATAGTAGGATTTTTTTCCATCTATCAATTCAATTATATTTCAGCTCTCGCTTTCTCCCACTCTATAACTCATTTTCTCTATCACATACTGAAGGACACACCACATCACTAGCATGCACGCCTAGCATTTTACATCTCTAAAATGTCACTCATTGTACGTAGGTGGCAATCTTATAAATATATCGTACAGTTAAACACATCCTATACCAGTTTTATATCTATCTATCTATCGATTTCAATCGAATCGTTTATATATATATATATATATATATATATATATATATATATATATATATATATATATATATATATATATATATCTATTTCAATCGAATTGTTTCTATCTATCTATATATCTATATATCTATCTATCAATCTCTCTATCTCAATCGAATTGTTCTATTTCAATCGAATCGTATCTACCTCTCTGTCTAAATCGAATCGTTTCTATCTATCTAAATCGAATTATTTTTATCTATCTATCTATCTATCTATCTATCTATCTATCTATCTATCTATCTATCTATCTTAATCGAATCCTTTCTACCTATCTATCTATTTAATTCGAATCCTTTCTATCTATCTATTTCAATGGAATCCATTCTAGCTATGTGTTTCAATCGAATTGTTACTATGTATCTATTTCAACCGAATCGTTTCTATCTATCTATCTATCTATCTATCTATCTATCTATCTCAATCGAATCTTTTCTACATATCTGTTTCAATTGTTTCTATTTATCTATTTCAATCGAATCGTTTATATCTATCTATCTCAATCGAATCGTTTATATCTGTTTCAACCGAATTGTTTGTATCTATCTATCTATCTATCTATCTATCTATCTATCTATCTATCTATCTATCTATCTATCTCAATCGAATTGTTTCTGTCTGTCTATCTATTTCAATCTAATCGTTTCTATCTCAATGGAATCCATTCTAGCTACGTGTTTCAATCGAATTGTTTGTATCTATTTCAACCGAATCGTTTCTTTCTATCTATCTATCTATCTATCTATCTATCTATCTATCTATCTATCTATCTATCTCTATCTATCTATCTCAATCCAATCGTTTCTTTCTATCTATTTATTTAGCTATCTACATATCAATCTATTTCAATCGAATTGTCTCAATGTATCCAACTCAATCGAATTGTTTCTATCTATCTCAATCGACTCGTTTCTCTCTAGCTCCTTGCAATTGAACAATTTCTATCTATCTATCTATCTATCTATCTATCTATCTATCTATCTATCTATCTATCTAATTATTTCAATAGAATCATGTCTATTTCAATCTAATTCTTTCTACCTATTTCTCTATCTCAGTCAAATCGTTCTGTTGATCAGTTACTTTAGAATTCCAGACCAATCCGTTACATTCAGTTGCACGCTAATAAACTTGGGAAAGGTATGATTCCATGTCTTCTCTCCAAACTTAAAGGACTCTGTAGGAAACACAGAATCCTATGGCTTTGCTTGCCAACCAGTCTATCTTAGAAAAAAACAGTAAACTCTTGCGGTAAATTCGTCTTCCTGGTCCTCATGCATCACGCATGTCCCTGCAATGACTGAATATGTTAATCAGAAACATCATGGTGTCTGCCACCGAGATGGTTTTCAGTTTGAACAAGCAACCTGTAAAAATTATGCTATTAGTTTTCAAATTAGTTCTTTTTTGTGACATTTTCCAAACGAGAACATATGCAAAAAAGATTAATGAATTTGTTATCTATAATGTTATATTAAAAAGCATTATAAAATTTATAAGAATTCAGAAAAAAAAAAAAAAAAAAACAGAAAAAAAAAAAAACAATAAAAAGTTGAAATAGAATTACGAGGTCCGCAAAATGTAACAGTTGCTGAATTAAAATATTGACTCACGTCCTCAGAGATGTATGTTGGTGACATCGCAATAGAAATTGAAACTTCATTCCAATAACAGTTTCGTTTCCTTTGTTGTAGACAGGCAGTGAGTGATCGTTTGCTTAAAACGCCTCTTAGTTTAAAATACGGTAAAAAGGAGATGTGGCAGATTGAATTTCTCCATGCGAAAAAAATGAACTGATTAAAATTAATTGATGTTTTCAAAACGTTTACGTAACCCCAAAATATATGAGATCAAATCTGTTTAAATATACTTTTAGTGAACTATACATTGAACGAGTAATGCATTTCAATACTGGCGACAACAATGCTTGAAAAGTCATGTTCCGAGCGGTCCTGCACAGCTGGTAACAGATAAAATAATGTTCTAGAGAATCTCATCAGTTTATGTCAAATATTTACCCCAAAACCCTCAAAAAAATAAAACAGTGTATACAGATGAATGTTGATTTCAATGTTTTGGCAAAATTAAGATCACGCAAATGTTATCGCAGCCGCGCCCCACGGATATTCTCCATGAGAAGAAAAATCACTGACTACAATATTTTAAGACAAGCTAAACAAATACGTGTTTGAGTCCCGGTCTTACCGCGGCCATCTGTAAAAAGAATTGGTTGACGGCATGTTAATTACACAATAATGGAAAATTTCAAGACGCAGCCTCAATCAAGTAACATGATATTCACTCTTTTCAGGGGAGGGGAGATAGAAGCGTAGTAATTCTGGTTTTACTTTAAAACATGTTACGCCGTTACATTTCGTCAGTTAGATAACAAAACCTGACCTATTTGAAGGTCCATTTTTCTATATTCAAATCAGAGAGAAATTGTGACAAAAATCACAGAATAACATTTAGAAAGACTACAAAAATTATTGCTTTTCTGGGAATCGGTACATTTATTTCTACTATTTTCAAGTCTAGGTAATATATCATTTTGTAAAATAGCGAATCTGAATGTATTATACTTTTCTTCAATTATTATAAACTGAATCATTATTTCTTTAATATCATCTAAAATGTTCCTCCTTACGAATGAATAAAGTGATTTTTTGTGTATTTAGCTGGTAAAGGAGGTTAGTGTTTTCTTTGCACATTTGCCTTCATGGAAATGAGTGAATAATTGTTTAATTTACTGCCTAATAATATGAACAGCCGTTAATTAACAAATTCAATTATATTACTAACAAGTTCTTAAACATGTCTGTATAGTTTTTTTGTTTTTTTTGTAGTAATGTATGTGCCTACAAGTGTGTCCCCAGTCGTGGATAGTAGTAGCATGGCACTGAGGTCAATTTTAGGCATAGCCTTGGATTAGACATATTGGTGAAGACCATATTTTGGAAAGGTACTCTTGTGAAGAACAATATCAGCAAGACTTATATAAATACAACAAAAAGAGCAGGATATGTACGGGGCATCCAGATATCTATGAATGCAACAAAACAAACAAAGATAATTACAAAGGAATTCTACAGAATAAAAATAGCGATATAATATGCGAACCACAATGTTCGTAATTGAATTGTGTCGCTAGTAATACAAGTTGTTACTTATAGCTTCAATATTATCAACTTGACTATAGGTGAAGTGAGGAGAATACAGTACAAGCTATGAAAATGTATTACTTGCCTTAAGATTCAGCAATAGAAGATAAATGTTGACTGTTTTTATTTTGCTAGACTTAATGTTGTTAAGGGCTTAAAGCAAATGATATCGATCTACAAGTATATGTACGTTTTGGTGTAAGGTATAATTGCATGGAATGAGACATCGGAGAGCAGAGTTCGAATTCCGGTTGGGTTCGTTATATTCACTTATGAACAAGTGCCCTTAGAAGAGTTACGAATGCATCTCTTCTATCTCCAGATATGGGTCAACTGACAGGGCCGTCTGAGTCCTATAATATATAAAGAAACAGTGGCCTAGTGAGGTAAAATCTTCTGCCTCGTCACTCAGGAACCGAAAGAGAAAGCGTGGTATCGCCCAAACGTTTATCAAGTATGGTGCTTAACTGATTGATGAATCTCCAAAACTTTTTCAAAATCTTTATAAATCTGCGTATATTATCACAATCGTCGTAGCTGAATACTGACTTACTTTACATAAAACTGACAACCTTTTCAATAGCTTATTCAATTTCAGTCCAGGTTTCATCACAATCATGTTATTCTTTTATTTCCTTGTTCATTGTGACAGTGTGGAGGCTGGAGAATTGTTTTTTGGAAGATTTTATATCATACAATGTTAACTTTCTTATGTTGAACTCAGACATTAGTTACAATGAACTTTCACCAGCATGTAGTATGTTTAAAGTTTCCACCTTTTGCAATAACTCCAAAGTTGTCCTTTTCCTCTTTTTTTCTATCATCTTTTGTGCCAATACAAACCATTAGGAAGAAATAAGTATGAGCAATTGTACAAAATTTCCTGAAGAACAAAAACTTCAAATCAGTTTATGTCATAAAAATAATTCAAATATACACATCAAAATTATGTCCGGATATGCGGGATTCCGGATATGTGGCACTCCGGATATGAAGGATTCTACGGTATTAATAAGAAAATTTAGAATTACAAATTAAGAAAATAGAAAAATGACGAAAAACAAAAAATAAATACAGAAATGCTTTACAGGAAATGTTTGCCAAAGGATAAAAGGTAAAGAAACTAGAATACGAAACTCAACGAATGAAAGTGAATTTGATAAATATAGCTTCACGCCTGATTGAGCTGAGGATTATGATAAACAAGGAAAATTCTTAAACCAAGAAAGGATAACATAAAAGTATTTAAGAAAAAGTATGAAAGATAAAAAGAAAAAAAATTTGATTATGAATGGGAGAATGCAATTACAAGGAAAGAGTGAAGAAAAGAAATGTATAAAAGAAAAACAGACAGATAAATGCCAAAAAGTATTCTCGAGCAAACTATAAAGAACGAGCAAACTATAAAAAGAGTAAGAAATAAATGTATAGATGAAAGAACAATTAAGTAAAAAAGAAAATTTAGAAAAGAAGGGAATAATTGTAAGCCAAGAAAATGGTGAAAAAAATAAAATAATAAAATGACGAAACACTTAGAAAATGAAAGAAAATAAAAGATAGAAAAAAAAAGAAGAAATCTAATAGATGAAGAAAAGACCCATGGAAGTTGAAGCGTAAAATTGACGAATGGTAAAGATACAATGACAAGCGAAACCAAACAGCAGAAATAAATAATTTGGGTAGAGAAATGAGAAAATATGACATCAATCTTTCAAACTAAATATTGACTGGAACACTTATGAGTATTTGAATAAGAAGGAAAGATAAATCTAGAAATTGTGATGATGCAAAAAGAATAGAAGAAATAAAAGAATGAGTAAAAAAATATTTGAGTGAATTAAATGTCTGAGAGTATAAAAAGATATAAGAAACCATAAATATATACCTTACAAAAGGATGCTAAGAAAGAAAGTAATAAAGAAAGGAAGAAGCAAAATAAACAAATTAAGTGAACGTCGTCAAGGTAATAATATGAAAAAAATAATTTAAAATGAAAGAAAGGAAAAACGTTGAAGAATGATATAAAAGAAAAAGACAGAATAAAGTAAGAAAATAAAACAAATGTGAATGAGTACTAAGAGGTAAAATTCGAAGAAAACTGAAAAAATATTGCGAGATAAATACAATGAAAGAAAGAAATATACAAACAAAACTAGAAATATAAAAAAGACGAGAACGGTTGTTAAGTAATGATGAGAGAAAAGAGGAGGACAAAGAAAGACGAGTGAATAAGATGGAAAATAGATAGAAATGAAAAAGAAAGAAATCCATAAAGAAAGACTAAAAACAGTTAGAAGGAGTTAGAAGGAACAAAGCAGAAAAAGAAAGCAATATAAAAAGACAGAAAAAAAGAAAGTAACAAAGAAAGAAAGAAGGAACGAAAGACACAACAAATTAAAAAACAAACGAATAGCATACAAAAAACATACAAACAAAAAATAAACATATGATGCGAATGATGGTTAACCAATGACATGAAAAAAAAGAAGGCAATTGAAAGAAAAGAAAAACAGAAAGAAATATAAAAAAGAGGTTTGAAGAATGAAAAAGCGAAGGAAATAAACAAATAAAGTAAAAGGTAAATCCTAAGACAATTGAGAAGTAACAGGCAAAACTAACCAAACTGAAAAAGAAAGGAAGTTAAATACACTGAAAGAAGGAAAACTGAGAGAGACAAACGAATGTAAAAAAAGACAGAAAGGTGAAAATATAACAAAAAGAAAAGAAAGCAGATGAAATAGAAATAAGATGAATTGAAAAACTGAAAAAAATAAAGTCATATTTTTGTGCTTAGCTTTCGTGAGAAAACAATCAACAAGTCAAGAAAAATGAAGTCAGGTTGAACGAAAGTTCGCAATGATATAATTACTGAATAAAGTAGTAAAACAGAATCACAAAATAAAATAAAAATCTGTTTAAGGAATATCCATTTAACACCGCAAAGATAAAACTCTGAAAATTTTCAACCGTAATAAAGAAACAATTTTAAGAGTTCAAAAATAAATTGAAGATTGCATGCAGTGCTAGCAGTAAAATCAATTATCATTGACACTTTACGAATGAAAGGGTACCCGCTGTAAAATCCACATAAACATTTGGAACCCCAATCTTAAATTGTATAACCAAAAAAAAACGTAACATTCTTACTACAGAGAGAGAAAGGAGAGAGAGAGAGAGAGAGAGAGAGAGAGAGAGAGAGAGAGAGAAATAACAACCAAAAAATACAGTAATATCTTCATGCACTTGACGATGTGATCATTGTGTTTCTCGTAAAGGATAGCGGGAAGGAATACCTAAAAATGATCCTTTTCATAATCACATATCGTATGATGCATAATAGCTAGGATGTAAAGAAAAAAATACCAAAACATAGAAGATGTTCTATAATGATTTTATCATACACTTACATACATAAGTTTCAGCATGTATCCTTCTTCTTCTGTGTGCCGTGTCCGTTCAGGACGTCCGCGATCATGAATCCCTACAACTTCCTGTAGCTCTTAGTAATTTTTGTCATCTCTCTTAAATACTGATCCACCATCAATTTACAAACGTTCGTTAGTTACGTTATTCCACGTTTACCTCTGTCCCTCTAGGCTCCAATATATCCTCTGTGTGACAAGTTTTCTAAACCCCCTTTCCTCATTATATTCTCTCTTTCTGGTGTGAAGTATAATATCCTTTTAATTTCCATTTTCTCTAAGACTCCGTCGTTGCTCACCTGTTCAGCTGGCATTTTCAGCATCTTTCGCGAGAACCACATTCTTGTGTCTTCATGCTTCTTCTTAAACTTCCAGCATTCGCTACCAGATAGAAAGACTGATATTGCATAACAGGCCAGCATTCTTTTATATGCTTCTAATGAATTTTTCTGTTTCTCAATACTTTGCTTAGCTTTTGGAAGGCGTCTTTGGCTATCAGAATGCGCCTTTGGATTTCATTGTCGTATTTTCATCCTATGTTAACATATCCCAGATATTTAAATTTTTGTTCTTGTTTGATTTTCGTATCTCCAATTTGAAATGTTCATCTTGGATTGGAACTTTTGGAGATAACTATGCATTCTGTCTTGCAATTGATTTTTGCCTTTTCTAAGCGCATTCTTTAGTACATTCTGTAAGAGTTCTTCCAGTTTCCTTTCTATGTACAATTATACAATAGATTGAATAAATGCAAAAGTTACATTTTGAAGACTGGAAACGGAATCACAATCCCGATTGTTATCTATATATAAAATTTGGGATTTCCGTTAGTCGGTCTGCCCGTCCGTCCATTACACTCTCTTAAAGATTCATACTTTGACGGATCGAAACCAAATTTTGGGGAGAAGTGGAAAATGGTAAGGCGCTAGAAAGTAAAGACGGTTTTACTAGAGCGCATAATTTAGAATACACACTCACACAGAGACACACACATACACACACACACACACACATATATATATATATGTATGAGTATGATAAAAAACATATATATACGCACATATACTTGCACGTACATACCTATTTCTTTCTCAGGTGTTATAAAAACAATGTTCAATATTATATAACACGGCCATTGCGTATATAATAGTGAATATGCATACTATCCAACGTCGATAGTACGACTCGGAGTTTCATGTAAACGTGTAATCTTCAGGTGCGAATTACTAACTGACCGTTAGGGCATTATGAAATTAGCTTCCTCGTGTCGATGATTTAAAATGCTATGTTAAGACTTGTTTCTTTTATTATTGTTTCCTATAATATTATATTCAATTATTTATAATTTATGTCGCTATAATTCTTAAGTTTGAAAGGCGAAGAATTAAAAAATAATACATAATAATAGGAGAAGTAGAAACGTAAAGATAACGCGTCTCTCATCAAATTTATTGAATGTCTGATTTAACAGATGACATTGAGAGCCATGTTCCAATATGTACATAGAAAAAAGTTTACTTCGGACATGTTTCATTCTTCAGGACTTCATCAGACTAAATTTGTATGTTGGTGCGACTGGACATGCGCATGGGTGCTGGGGATTATAGAAATATTTATAATTTTTTTATGCCTAGCAGTTTTCATTTAGATTATCAAGTATCGACCATCATAAAGACCGAAAAATAAAATTGAAAAAGATTATTCTGTAAGGTTGACAGACACGCATGTCTTAAGTAGATTTTTCTTTTCTTTTTTTACGAATTGGTCAAACCCAAACTCAAAAAAAAAACATTGTTTTCAATCGTTAGGAGTCTATCGATTGAATAGAATTTTATTATAAACAATTGTCTTGTAAATGGAATTTTTAAAGAATTCTGAATGTAAAAATAAAGAAAGAAGTGTGCATGACAATAAGAAACACTACCTGCCAAAAAAAGTGAAGTTTTGTTGAAATCGGTTGAAAAATCTAGGATATCAGATCCCATATATAAACGAACACACACACACACACACACACACACAAACAACCTGGGTTTTATAATAAGTATAACTCGATATGAGTTGTCCCACTTTCATTCTGGCGACAGAATCGTATTTTATTGTGTTTTCAAATTGATATCGTGTAAAAACAATCATGTTGTTTCAATTTTTGGCGCTGTCAGAAACACCGCAAGGTAATTTTACTTAGTCCTGTGAAGTTTTGTTGAAATCGGTTGCAAAATGTGGGAAATCCGATCCAATATATAAACGTACAGATACACACACACAATCTGCGTTTTATAATAGGTAACATTACGTCTTTTATTGTTATGGATGTTAGAGTAACAAATTTTACGTTGAGTATAGATTCTAATCGATAGTAAATGTGATAGAGTTAGTTGTTAGAAAAATATATTTTTCATTCATTGGCTTTGTCAGGAGGGACCGTTTTTTGCTTAGGAATGTTTTATGAACTTTTTGTTTTGCATTGAATATAAAATAATTAAAATATTGTCGATGATTGAAAGAGTTTTTAATATATTTCTCCTATGTATGTAAATAATGCGGGCTGCGTATTCTGAGTGATCTTATGTACAATCCGATGATTTTATTTTGCTGTTATGATGGGAAGAAAAATTTATTTGGTCGTATTGTTGGCTGATTTCCAGTGGATGACCATTTTTATACTCTTGTTAACGAGGTGTTGATTGATATCTACGAAAGGTAAAAATTTGATTCTTCCATTTCGTATGTAAAAGCTTTTGTGTTTTTGCTTTTGTTTAGTTGAACTGTTGGTCACATGAATCAGTATCAAAAATATATATAAGAGGAGCATCGTCAATGTAACGGAAGTATGTTGATTGTTTGGGTGAAATATTTTGGAAAAGAATCAGATTCTAGAAGTTCTAAGAAGATACATGCCATCCCTAGAAGGCGATCACATTGGTAATCTAAATTTTGTTTAGAATAATCTTTATTAAATGTGAAGTAGCATGGATTGGTGATAAGATGGCAGATTTTTACTAATCTAGCTGTTGGCAGAGAGAGATTTATCTTTGTGTTCGATGCTTTTTAGGATGTTTAGGATTATTTCAACTGGATGTTGGTGTAAAGGGATATATATATGTCGCGAGCTGTCCTTTATAAAAGTTTCGTTAAAAATGACCGACAAAGAAAAGTTATTATGATTTTGATTTAATTTTTCTCATGTTTTTATAATTATGGACATAAATTACGTTAAAATAAAAATAAAACCAACCTTGATAATGGCTAAAAAATTACTCGAAAGCAATCGGACATAAATAACACACAGAATATTTGTACATAATTTATGTCCAGATAAAAAAAAACGCAATAAAAATTAAAGTAAAATGTGAACCGTTGTGCGATGTTTTTTTAACGTTATCTCTCTTTCTCTCTCTCTCTCTCTCTCTCTCTCTCTCTATATATATATATATATATATATATATATATATATATATATATATATAATAAATGTGTGGGGTTGTGTGTGCTATAATAATTATGCAAATGTTTCAGATTTATGGGAACAGAATTCTATATCAAATATTGAACTGAATGATTGATTCATTGATTAATCGTTTGAAACCGCTTAATTTGTTGCCATAAAGTTTGTTTAAATTAAGTAAACCGAAAACTAAATAATGCCCACAGAAGACAATTAAAAAGCGCTTATATTTCGATTCAGTAATCTCAAAAAGATTCAGAGTAAATGCCTTCAGAACGATGATACCGATGAAAACTATCCGAGTGACAGCAAACTAGATAAAGAAAAGAAAATATGAATTAAAATAATAGTGAAAAAAAAAATAGAATGGAAATTATAAAGGTAGCTGAAAATATAAATGTTGGGATGAAGATGATGATGACGAAGAAGATGAAGGAAATGTAGATTAATTTGTTTTAAGAAATATAAGAAAGCGATAAAATTAAATGAAAGTGGAATTAAAAAAAGTATTGAGACGAGAAAAATGAAAGACAAATTTAAAATAAGAATAAAGAATTAGTATGGACTAAAAATAGATAATGAAGAAGAAGAAGAAGAAAAAGAAGAAAAGAAAGAAGAAGAAGAAAAAGAAAAAGAGGAAGGGAGGAAAACAGAGAAGAATTATAGATAAAGTAGGATAAAAAATGAAGCGAAAGATGAAGCGGAGAACAAGAAAGAATGAAAAGGGAACATAATTCATTTAAAATTAAATTGGACACGAGATTTCATAAGACTTAAAACTCAGTGAAGAAATGAATGAATGAAATAATAATAATAATAATAATAATAATAATAATAATAATAATAATAATTTTTTTTATTATTATTATTATTATTATTATTATTATTATTATAAAATGATAAACGGGGAAGAATAACTTCAAAATAAAAAAAAATAGAAGAAAATCAGTAGTGTCTATCTAAAAGATTTTATCGATCAGTTATCAAACCTGGATTTCATTTGGTAATACCGTTTTTCATTACAAGTCACTTTAATTGGATATCCATATATCAATAAAGCCAGAAACAAGAATCGAAAATGAATTAGTGTCGCAAACTGCTACCCAGCCACGAAGAACATTTTACAATACAATGAAAGTTAAAAAGATAAACAAAGTCTATTGTTTGATAGAAAATGTGTGAAAACAAATAAATATACCGATAAAATGTATTTACATATGTATGTGGTTGTGCGTTTGTGTCTATGTGTTTTTGTGGAACTGTTACGAAAAATCATTAATAAAGGCAAAGGAGATAAATACTATCGGTTTTAGCGCTTCAAATATTTGATTTCTTATTTGTTTATTTTTATTCCCTGATTTTCCTGAAA